TATCAATAAATTAACAGGCACAGCGTGGAGTGCACATTAAAACTCATTTAATACGTAGAATAACCATTGAGCTTACTCCTCTGGATAGAACATCGACTATAATATACTTGGCGCGATCGTGAATAACGCTATCAATTAATAATAAAATAAAAACAAAAACTGAAACACAATTCAGTTTAGCTTCCGTAATCGTTCAACTCTTTCATTCATTCGCGTAATAATTTTTTTAAAGTAATTCTAGTACTTTTCATTTCCAAACTAAATTTTCAGACATAAGCATAATACACAGGAGTAAGATCAAAGACAATAAAACTAAAGTTCCGTTAGTTCAGTGCGATGACGTCTTTGGGCAAACTTTGAAGAAGTTTTTTTTTCATGGCTTCTGTGTCTGACAAATTATGAAGCGTTCGGCCTCGTTCTGGAAATTAAACAAATACTTCTTGTTAATAATAAGCATAAATTGGGTTTGAATACATATTTTTAATTAACTTGATCGATAAAAACTATGATCTGAAGCTGCATTCATCATCCTTTAACTGTTTACTCTTAGAGGTAGATTTTTTCATTAAAATGGAATAGGTATAAAATTGAGTAGAGAAGCAATTTGAATAAAAAATATCAATTATCGACATCGTGTCAAAAATGGCAAAGTTATGAAATAAATTGATCGAATTGAAAATCTCCTCCTTTTTGAAGTCGTAAAGAAGAAGAAGAAGAAAAAACTACAATTAAGTACTGCCGGTTAATGCACTAAGTTACTTTTTTCTATCGTGTCGAAACTTCCACGGGTCATCACCTAACCAATGCTCCTCACGATGAAGTGGTACGTTGGAATCGAACCGACTAAAAACATACGGTGTTTCGTCACATGTGAGTCTATGGCAAGGTATACCCTAGGAAGGAAGTCCCCGAGAACCCTGCAGACTTTGGCTGACTGACCAATGAGTGGCACCTAGTTCCTACAAAAAGAGATTTAAAACAACTAAAACCACTTTTTAATTTTATAACAAAAGTCAAGGCGATATGTAATGATACCACAGTCTCACAGCAGACCACTGTTTAACATTTGCTTAGTTAGATTTCACAAAATTACTGAAACAACTGACTCTCCGTCTCCACCCGCAGTACTCACTATCAGGATTAGGTGTACCGTCTGGTCGTTTACCCCCGTCCCATAAAACATCGCTTTAGTACACTCCCCAACGATGTCGTTTAATGGAATAGGTATAAGGACGCATAGGAATGTTTTACCGTGTGCTGGTCCGGGGCGGGACTATTGATGTAAGGCCGGTTTAAAACCAATACGTTTACAACGAAAAAACCCGTTTTAAACCGAAATAAACCATTTTTTTCGATTTAAAACGCTTGTTAAAACATTTTCTTGATTTTACTGAGGTAGGGATATATAAACTATATAAAGATTTTTTATATGTGTGATATACTGATATTGATATACTTAGCGGGTTTAGTTCTAGTTGGTCTGTCAGACCAATCGTAGGTATAACCTACCTAAGTTATAAAAACTCTGTTGGTAAATAAACATTCTTATCATACGATATAAATAATCAATTTGATTCGGTTTAAAACCAAAGTCACACCCTCGCACTCTCGTTGACGTCGTCAATCGCGACGGCCTTGAAGACATAACGTGATCTCTTTCAAGCCCAAGTAAAACGGGCGGCATTGTGTTAGTGGTGTCTTCTAATCCCGTGGGTGTAATATAACATAAAAAATAAATAGGTATACCTACTTACTTAAGTTTTCGTGTAGTAGGTAATGTAGGTAGGTACTTTCTATTAATTTTGTATAAACTAATTAAAACGAAACATGAAGTCAGGTGACCATATATTGCCCACAATGAAGTGTAAAACACGGTTCTTTTATTTTTTGCATGCGAGTTTTCAACCGTTTAAGATTTATTTGGGGTTTGAAACGGCAACATTTTATTTAAAACGTTTTAAATTGGTTGTCGTCCTACCCGTCATGACATACGGAGCTAAAACGTGGACACTTACGGTACGGCTGGTCCACAAGTTCAAAGTCGCTCAACGTGCTATGAAAATGGCTATGCTTTGCGTTTCTCTAAGGGATCGCATCAGGAATGAGGTGATCCGGCAGAGAGCCAAGGTCACCGACATAGCCTACCGGATCAGCAAGCTGAAGTGGCAGAGGGCTGGCCATATTAGCCGCAGAACCGATGGAGTGACGATTTGCGCAAGATGGCTGGCAGGAGCTAGATGCGAGAAGCCCAAAATCGATCTAAGTGGCGTGCAATGGGAGATGCCTATGTCCAGCAGTGGACTGCGATAGGCTGATAATGATGATGATAAAATTGGTTGTTTTACATCTAAATCCGAGACTTGCAAGCTTTGTAAATTTAATAAGCAACATTTTTTTTATATAATATTAAGCATATAATTGAAGACTCAATAGAAAAAGGTATATCTATGGTTTCGTTGTAAAAAAATAATCAATGTGGGCCCGCTGGAGAGCATACTTAGCTCACCTTAGAAGGCTTTTCAAATTCTTTATACACCATAAAAACAAACATTTTTAACAAAAAAAAACCGACTTCAAAAAACACTATTCCAAAACAAATTAATATGCACTAAAAAGGAAAAAAATAAATGCATATTCTTCTACAACTTAATAATCAACTTACTTTTTCTACTCATCTATATGTAGGTACGATCTATGTGTTAACCGCGCAAGGAGGTAGGTAGGTACCTACCCATTTCAAATCTAATTTTACATATACTCGTCGTTGTTTGTTATTCACAGGAATAACAAACAACGATCAAAATATTTATTTGAGTTCTCCTAAGTAAAATAAAATGAATATAATGTAGTTACAATTATTGTTATTTTTGCAGTCGGTGTCAGCCAAGTCGGTGTCACCTACACCTTATAAGTGAGAAGTGCTTGTGTCGCACGCGCGAGTTGACGAGTCTTAAAGTATTCTCGTATTATTATTGCTAGGTATATCGTAGTGTTTCCTTGGCTGACACCGACTCCAAAAATAACAATAATTGTAACTACATTATATTCATTTTATTTTACTTAGGAGAACTCAAATAAATATTTTGATCGTTGTTTGTTATTCACAGGTACGAGTATATGTAAAATTAGATTTGAAATGGGTAGGTACCTACCTACCTTCTTGCGCGGTTAACACATAGATCGTACCTACATATAGATGAGTAGAAAAAGTAAGTTGATTATTAAGTTGTAGAAGAATATGCATTTATTTTTTTCCTTTTTAGTGCATATTAATTTGTTTTGGAATAGTGTTTTTTGAAGTTGGTTTTTTTTTGTTAAAAATGTTTGTTTATTTTTTGCTTTTTAGTGAATCTGAAGTACACTTACTGATTTGTCTGAATATGGGTAGACCTAATAAACGTGCTGCTCAAATGAGACAGCGCCGTTTCAATGAAACAAAGGGAGTCAGGAAGAAACGCCTATCTCAACAGAGGCAATCTACCCTGTGATGACGGATTAAGAATACAGAATGTCACCACCCCTTTTAATCACATGGGTGTCGTAAGAATCTAGTGAGGGAGCAAACTACGCAGGACAACAGCACTGCAAAGAGAAAGAAAACTTGAAATAAACCCTATACCAACGCGTCTGGCCAGCGTGGTATAGTAGGCCAAAACCTCTTTTCTACGGAGAGGCCTATGTCCAGCAGTAGCTTATTAAAGGCTGTTGATGACGACAATTACTTGACCATAACGACGTTACTGTGGGTGACTCAAATATCCAGATAGCCCATAAAAGATTCAGCCGAGTATCGTTAATTTGCTCCTAAGAATTGAAGAGTTCCGTTACTTTGTCGTGGATCCCATCATCAGAATCTAACCAAACTCTCATCAAAGTACCCTTAAAGTACATCCATTCCAATAAAAAAAGAATTATCGAAATCGGTTTGCGTGAAATTGAGTTATTCGTCTATTTGTCGCGAACATACTAAATGCAAATTTAAGACTTATATGGTTTTCTCATGGATGCCATTATCAGAACTAAACCAAATTAAAATGGGACCACACGGGAAGCACCACCTTTCAAATAAAAAAAGAATCATCAAAATCGGTTCACCTAGTCAAAAGTTCTGAGCTAACAAACATAAAAAAAAAAAAAAAATATTTCTGTTTATTTTTGATGTGTTTAAAAATAATTTGCTTAATAACAATTTGTTACTGGCACCGCTGGTAAGTATGCTCTCCAGCGGGCCCACATTGATTTATTTTTACACCAAAACTATATATATAGATTTATTTATTGAGTCTACAATTATACACATATAATATAGGTACATTTTTTTCTTGCTTATTAAGTTAACAAAGCTTAACTCCCGTGGTCCCGTTCCGTAGTAGCACAAGTTTTACCGGCTAATATGTTCATATTTTCATTTCAACCTAGCAAGCAAACAGTCATCAATGTGGAACACAAAGTGTTGTTCCATCGAACACACAACACAGCGCAGTAGAAAGCGGCGACCGCTTAAAAACTTACGCCATCCGTGCAGTTAAGATTGTATCTTGTGGTTTTGTACGAATGCATTGTTTTGTGTAAGTTTTACTTTTAAATCTAGACCGTAGAAAATACTCTATTAAGAGAGCGTTGCGAGAATCGCTATTTATTTAGTTCAGTTCAGTCATTTCAGATTTCAGCGAGTCATATCAAGATTACGTAGGTATTTATTCCGCACTGTAACGTAAGTAATAAGTTTTGATTGTAAAAAGAATGCTCCATAACTTACTTTTAAAATGACTAAATCATTTAAAATAATTTCTACAAATATTCATTATTTTTCGGGACAAATCAAGATTGTTTTTCAACAACGAATGTGGGTATTTCATTAGTGTTTGCAGGGCTTCTTTTCATTTGAATAAGAAAACCTTTAAGTAAAGAATTATTATTAGAGGACAGTATATAAGGACATTTTCGTTCGTGGAAGTCCATTCTGTTCACGGGCAGGGAAGGAAAGTGTACTAGTCAAAATGTTTCGTATCCTCGTTTTGTTTTTGGTTTTTGCCGCCATTGCTGTGTTTGTCGATGGTCAGTTGACGTTCAGCTCTGGGTGGGGCAATGGCAAAAGGTCCATAAGTGTGGAGCCATCGAATGGTGACTGCAGCCCTGAAGAAGCAATTTTTCAAATTTACCAATTGATAGTGGTAAGTATTTTCTTATAGGTTGTTTTTTTAGAGTATTATATTATATGAATAATTACATGCCACAGATAATTCTTTAAAAAAAAATTGTTTAAGGTTTCTGTCCCACTTAGAAGTCCCGAATGTTATATTTTGACAAAATACTTTACAATATTTTTCTTCATACGTCGAATTATTTACTTACGTGTTTGGTTTGACAATTAAAAAAATCCATTACCTACAAGCTTGAAAACAATAACGAATCAAATTCAAGCTTTCTTTGAAATTGAATAAACTTTATTGTACACCAGTGTAGGACATACATTAAAGAATTCATCAAATGACCATGTACAAATGGCGGCCTTATCGCTAAAAAGCAATTTCTACCGGGCAACCTTTGGATTGACAAATCGGCTGTAGACAGACGAATTCACACTAATTCACAATTCTTTAACAATTGATTTTACGAGATTTCAAAATAAATATAATTTAACTATAGAGAACTACCCTTGAACTACTATTGAGCTTAGAATATTAACCATATTAGCTTAGAATTATTAAGAAGGATAGTTTCACATTAAAAAACCGTCGCGTTTGAGGCAAAAACATAATTGATGTAGGCGTAAGTGACGCGTATTTACGCTCGGAGACACGCAATTGGCGTACAAGTAATGTTGCTATCTGAATCAGATTTTCCCCAAAAGTAGGGAAATTGGAACTACTACTAGGTTTCTGCACTCAAATAAGGAATATCTTTTTTTAATTTTATGGATGAAAATCTGAAATAAGTAACAAAACAAAACATTTAAGAAGTCAAATAGTAAAGATCGCTTTTAAGTTATTACAGTGTTCCGACAAAGATTACATCTTCCACAAATGTATACTGCATGCACCTTTAAATTTATTTTGACAGCCCCGATGATGCAGTAGTAAGAGAGGCGACTGCTATGAAGAGATCTCGGGTTCGATTCCCGGGGTTGGCCCAAATATTTATAAGATTTATAAATATTTGTTTCAATTGTGTTTTCTATGTACAATTTGAATTTACAAAAAAGATGTCAATTAAGTATGTTTCAATGATGTATCAAATAATATTTGGGGAGGGGAGGGGGAGGTTATTAAAAAGTTGCAATGAGCTACACCTATCCAGTAAAACTAAAGGACAGTCTTAAGTGAGTTCAATTTGAGGTAGATATTCCAAGGAATTATAATCCATCATCATCATCAACAGCCTATAATAGTCCACTGCTGGACATAGGCCTCTCCTTGGAAAGGAGGTTCAATTATAATCCAATTTATTTTATTAATACTGGCCATTCTGGGTCAAGGCTTCCAGTGCAAGTGAATTACATTACCAACCTATATAATCAGTATTTTTTGATTTTAGAACATAAATATTAAAATGTGGGCAACCATTTTCACTTAACTTGCAACATTTGGTCAAAATTTCATTCTGCTTAGAAAAATGTCTTACATCAAAATATTGGAATACGACGACCGGATGGCGTAATGGTTTGTGTAACGAACTGCTATTCCAAAGGTCGCGGGTTCAATTCCCGCTCAAGTCAAACATTTGTGTGCATGAACATGTAATGTTTGATTTGGTCTGGGTGTTTCTATATATAATATGTATGAATTTCCGAAAAAAAGTACATATAATAATCGGTAGGTGCAAGGTCTGGTGGTCACATTTGCAACCAGCTTTGGTCAATCGGTCGTCCCCACTGCTCCTTCACAACAACGCGCGACCCCATACTGCGCAACAGACAGTCTCCAAGCTGCAAGAGCTGGGGTTGGAAGCTCTCCCTCATCCGCCATACTCACCAGACCTTGCACCTACCGACTATTACTTTTTCCAAAATTTAGACAATTTTTAGTGGGTAAAAAATTCAATTCCCGAGAGGCAGTACAAAATGCCTTTGAAGAGTTTGTTGCCTCCCGTCCAGCTGATTTTTACAAGAAGGGCATCATTAAACTGCCAATGCGTTGGCAAAGATGCGTCGATTGCATGGGTGATTACTTCGAATAACAGAAATAAAAAAGTTTGAAAAAATAAGTACTTATTGCATACAAAACGGCAATTTCATAGGTAAAGACCTAATATAAGTATTTATATCAGTTGTCTAGTACCTATAGTACAAGCTCTGCTTAGTTTGTGACTAGATGGCGTTGTGTGAATGTGGTAGAATATTATTATTATTATAATAAACGTAATACTTACGGGTGGAATGTTTTGTTACAATTTTTCTTATGCTTTTCCGATGTACTGTGGCACCCGTTAATTGCACATACTGTCATTTTGTAATAAACTTGCGAGAGCTGTTGCCACTATAGTTTGACCTTGAGCACTGACGCCCGCCGTTCGTCAACTTAGCCAAAACTTCTAAGATTTACTTGTCTCACTTTTCGTGAGCTTTTTTTGAAAGCTTTTTTCTGAGATTGTTTTGTTTTCCTTTCGTTTACAGTCTGAAGGAGAAAGGATAAGAACGTGTCAACGAAATGGAAAGATGTGAAATGTAAAAATTGCTTGAATCGGAAACAAATTAATGTATTGAATCGCGTACAAATGTATATTTTAATATAAACATGTTATAGTATAGTATATAATCTATTTTCCAATATTAGATATTATATACGATTTAAAATGCAAGGCTGGGAATGCATTAGACATAGATGATGTGTAAAATCTAAGTTGCTATAGATTTATACCACTTTTGGTAATTATATAATATCATTTACTCTGATCGCTGTTGATGAACAACTAATGAGTAATGGTTTTGTTTTCGAATTTTCATATTCCTTATTCTAATCCCTTTTATAATATTAATATTATTATCTATAAATATGATTGTTATTTCAGCATAAAAAAATGCTTAGGTATTAAGTTTAAATGAACAAATTCTTTGATAAATTAAAACACATTTATAATTTTTGGTATAGTTTTATTAAAATCCATCTTTACATCGTCCATTCAAAATTAAAGACCTCAGTCACCTTTATTAACACACCGCAAGGATATAAAGTCGATCATCCGCCATGTTGAAAATATAAGAACGAAGGAAATATTGCGCATGGCCGGGATGATAGATCATTGATATATCTAGATAGACTGTCAAAGCTGTAATAGCATTGAAAAAAAAATGTGTCCAACTGTTGGCTTTTAAGATTCGTCGCTATTATTATGAATGCTCGATAAGCATAATAAAGTTGGTCTGTGTGCTCTATCCAGACATATAAATGATTTAAGCCCGAGTTATATTGCAAGAGGTAAGCACTTAATTATTTTGATATCTTAATTTTAAGTCTACTTTTAATATCTTAGATATACGTATATATAAACTAACCTTCAATTTTCTCTTTCAGATGCTTCATAAAAACTAGACGAAATGTTTCATCAGGGAAAATTAACATCACTACTGTCAAACTAGAATTGTATTCAAATGAATTGATGATTATTTTACACTGATTTAATCGACATTACACTTCAATAATTATTGCATTTAAGTAACAAAAACTATGGATTAAATAAATTATTTAAATCGTTACATGAGAAAAAATGCATGTGTATTGTATTGACCACAAACAACAGAATGTCATGACAACGCGGGAAAAAAATTGTTAAAAGAGCTATCTTCCCCTAATACAAGTGAACCATAAATTATTAATTAATAACATGCATGAAAGTTTGATTCTAAGTTATCATAATACATATTATACCGGCATACATTTCAGATATTCTCTAACTTGTCAAATTTGCATCTCAGCGCCTCTATATACGTGAGGTACAGTGAGGGAACTATATGTAGTTTCCTCAGTTCTCGCAAAGAGGCGCTGGCGAAAAATAGAAATTGGCAGTCTATTTCAGGATAATTTATTAGTTTATGGTCTACAGTGCAGTAGTTGACGGTCAAACTGTCATATTTGCTGAAAAATATGATCTTGTAAATAATAACACGTCTGTTCTTCATACTATAACACGTCAGACTTATACCTACCGTTTTTGACTGTTAATTTCAATATGAAAGAACAACTGACAGAGTGCTGGTTTTAATGTGTAATAAAATTAAATATTGATTCCCATAAATTAAATTTTTGCTAGGAACAAATTTTTGCCATGATTTTAATAATGACAGCCGTGTAATAGTACTGAATAAAATTATCAATGACGTACAGCGGAATTTTTTAAACCTGAACATTACATTTTACTTATTTGATAATGACGAATATTTTTTTTTCATTTTCCAGAGAGTGAAATATACTCACAAATAAAAATAGTTCTTAGACGGGTATTCAGAGATATTAGCGGCCATGATACTGACAACTGACGCCGATGACTTATAAATTTATACAATTAAAACTTACCACGAATACATGCAACGTGCCTAATACAACTACAAGACTTTGAGCTTTGGACATTGGCTAATATATTTCTTAACTATAATGGTAAATGAAATGAATACAATATTCATGAAATTGCTCTCACAGCCCTTATATTATAAGGACACCTAAATAATATTGCTGGTAGGATTACCTACGCTGAAAATAAAGGACGGAAAGTGAAAAAATGAGCAATATTCTTGAAATTAACACATGGGTACACATCCATTGGCATTTAATTAAAAAAAAAATACAAGATAGCGTCATGATCGAAACAATATATATTTTTGCCTTATTATCCTCATCATCTCTAGGAATCAGGTTACTTTTGGATTTCAATGTATCTTTTTTTATAGTTCTAGGTAATCCACCTGGAGAATTAATTTTTCCAAATATTGGTCAAATACCTTCTACCAAAACACGTATCCTTGCACATGATTGGAAATTATGTAAAAGTAATAAAAACCTCGCGAATGGGATCAAAATCTGTGTCACTTATAGATATTGTGAATTTTTATAAATTAGTTGAAATACAGCCATCACTGTTCAGTGCAGCGCAGCGTATGGGATTTTATAAAGATGGTTTCTAAATCAGTTTTACATTAATTAAATAGGCGTATATCATCGATTTTGCATTGTAACAATCATCCTAAACCTGGACTAATATTATCTCTACATCCCACTTTTGCTGATTTCGTCATCTGATTCCTATGATGATTTGATGATGATTTTTGATACTTGTAGTGTAGAATCGTCTCTCCAACGTTTCATTTCATCTTAATAGTTCTTACCGAACACAGCATTAGTGATATTTATATGAAAGTGCGATGATACATAAAGACATAGATTTAATGGTAATTTCATAGTAATGTCCTTTGAAAATGTTTTTTTTAAACACTGTCGTCTTTTTTAGTACTGATTATTTTGTTCATACTTAGGTATATTGCTTTTATCCTGGTATTTTTTCATTTGTTTTGCTCTTAAACATAAACAATCACCTATTATATTAATTTTCAAAGGACATTAACTGCGACTAACACGTTATTAGGAAATATTGAGTAATATTTACAGTGATAATTATAGACAGAGAAATTAGTATTTTATAATTTGTTTATGATATAGTAAATATAGCCATATTATATTATATCTGTACAGTGAGCGACACAGGTGTAGAAAGTTGTAGGCCCAACTATTTACACTATTTTACCTACTAATTTTCAATATGGGTCTAAATAAGAAAACAATGAACAATCAAGAATTAAGTGATACTTCATCAAAATTCTTATCGAGTTTTTTTTTGAGTTATTTAAGTGTTAGAAGCGACGACTGCATCATCAATGTAAATTAATTTTTCGTTCAACTCTTTCGTTCATATTAAAATAATATTCATATTAAAAAAAAAACAATTCTATCGATAAGCATAAAATTGAAATGCTTATTTTTTTAATTGTCCGGTTATATCCCTTACGATATTAAACTTTTATTTTAAAAAATTTGATGAAGTTAAACTGATAGGGAAGGTGGAAGAAAGACAAGAGCTAAATACAAAAGCCCCATTAATTACCGAAATAAAATTGCAGTTTTTTTCTTCAGTTCCCTGATTCTTGGTTTCTTATTTAGATCTCGTTTAAGACAATATGTCATTGATAATATACCTACTTAATACTTTAAAAGATTTTATAAATTCCTTTTTCCTCGTGTTATATCTTAAGGTATCATACCTACACATTTAACAGTACGTCTATATTATTTTTCATAGGCCATTTAAGATGACTATTATTCAACAACATTTTACTATCAATTAAGTTTTTACAAGCAATATTGATAGCAAATTGTCTTCAAATTTCTTAACCAATACCTGTTAACGTTATAACATTTATCCTATATATATGGTTAAACTCAACTCTATTTCCTATTAGATAAAGTCTGATTTTGTTAAATCGCACTACTAATATGCTACTCATACACACTGTTTCCGTTCTCACGTATAGGTTAAGTTATCTTCTTCGTTATTCATAAGTAATAAGGTCTAATATAGTATGTATAATTTTTTCATGCGATTACTTACAGAGCTTACAATAGATTATATTATATACGATTCCATACATGGAGTCATTTTTTTGGTAAAATTATCGAAAATTTGATTATTTTTGGAAAGTACAACGCTTTGTACACACATATAATTTATACAGGGTTAACACAGTGCCGAAATGACAAGAACTCGCCAAAAAACTAACTTTTTTTTAAAACTGTAACATCAATTGCAATCTGAAGTCGTCTATCTCGGCACTCACACGTATATACATAAAGACATCGATTTGAGCGAGAATATGCTGATAAACGTCTACAGTTACTGAATACTGATTTCGGTACGTGCAATAAGTAAGACATGTCACACGTCGAACTGAATCTTTCCTAGAAACTTTTAATCGAGTCCATTCACTAGATAAAACTTGTTAGAACCTAGAGCGACGGATGCTACAAAGTAACAGTTCTGTGTGTATTCGGTACTTCGATAATAAGTGCGGTTTGGAGTTGGGCGGGGACGGGCTCACGGGCACGGGGCAGCGGCACGAAGCACGTGCACGGCACCGCGCGCTGCGCGAGGCGGTGTGAGTCGCGCAGGAACAGCGCGTAAGCGAGCGCAAACACGCCATACGGTGCCAAAATGGCTGCCACGAGCCGTGACAGCTGCCCCGCGTCTGCTGACTCGGAGAATCACTTCTCCTCGTCTTCGTCGCGGAAAAGGTACGTCGACCTGTGCACAGAAGCAACGACAAAATGGCTGTAAAAAGTGTAGGTACCAGAAGTACTAATTTTCTTGTTTAAGTTTCAAAGAATGAATTCATCTAATATGTAGATCGATAAAGTGATTAACTAGATTCTTATTATCCAACTTAATAGAAAGTAAGTACACTCACCAGTAAGCCAAGTTAAAGAGAGCGAACACGAGCGGGAAAGTGATTCGAGAGATGACGTCGATTCTCTTCGACCTGGTGGGGAACTTAGACATCCACAGGCGGCAGCAGTTCTTCTGTGGGGTGATGTGAACTTCACAGCGACCGGACATCTGATGGTCATTTCCATGACACACGGTGGTCGTCCGCATCAATGGTTTCTGTTCGTTGCAGACGAGTCAGGGAGGACGAAAATATTGCATCTTAGACGAAAATTGAAAAAAGCTTCTACGATGTCCTATGTTCCCAAGTTTATGCGGGTGTTAATGACATGGCGCATAGAGAATGCTGTACTTCTAACTACCACTTGAATGCTCTTGCACTAACTAAATGATAAAAGTTATCTTTAACAGAATAAATATGTGAATCTATTTAAATCTGAGGTCTCATATTATGTCAATCAATGAAGACTATTTCAACTAGCGTCTAAATTACTCAATGATCTTTCTAAAAAGTAACATTACCCAACTATCAGGATTCAATTCAATCAATAGACAAGAGTTTCTAGGTAACACTAGAATATAAAGCTAAATTTTTACTACTCCATTTCTTTCTTTAACTGCTGCAGCCAGCATGTATTTTATCTGTTTTATGGAATATACTTTCAAGGAATAAAATACTGTCAGCAATAAAAATTATGGCATATATTCCAGCGATACCTTAACCCTTTACTTGAAAGCATCTACTCATCTCAATGCTTGCAAAAAACTGGATTCGAGCTCACCATAGCAAAAGTGGTATTGCTGTCTGTATCCATCATGTCTGACGCCGCATCAATATTTGCCTGCGGGTCTATCCCCAAGTCCTTTAAAATTAAGGGTATTTATTTTTTCATTTGTTAAAACTTCAGTTACACAATAGGTATATCATCCAAGCCATGCCGCAATTAATTACCTGAGACCCAGGGTGGATTTATGGTTAAGAAAAATTTACTATAATGTATGTTATTAAGGATTTTTTCACTGTAGGAAAATATTTTCGAATGATAATACTGTACATTAAAGGTCCTGACCTAAATGACTTCCTTGAGGTACGCCTTGCTTCAAATTTAAGTTTCATTACTCAGTTTAAGGTATGTTTAGGTAAGGAATTGGTATCATATAGAGTCTACATAATAATATATTCAGTTTTAATTTATTTCGTAAACCTGTAACATTTTTATGTTACGTAACACTGTCACACAGTCGGAATATTTTATGAAACTGTGTGATAAGCTACTTGCAATTCATGAATGCATTTAAAACATTTTTTTACTTTTTGAGTTTTAATTTTAATTTCTTACATTAATTTAGAACAAAATAATGTTACAGCTAGATTTGGTTAGAAATAGGCAGTTAATTTAACGGACATTATGTTTTGCTGAATCTGTAGTAGTACTCGTAATCGTTTATCATCTAAGAACATTTAGTTATGGATAGTCTTAATAGAAGAAGAATATCGTTATAACTAAATGTTCTTATTAAATTATATGGTTGTATTCAAGTAAATCAATGTGCAGCAAAGCGAAAAAGTGAAAACGATGGACAGTGTGCGTTGATAGATTCAATCTTTTCTCGTGCTATAGAAAAAGTGACATATTTAGTAAACAATGACGATTCTACTTAGTAATTTTAAATCCTTAAACGTTACATGTTGGTATTACGGTCAACTTTGTCCATTTGATTTGTTAAAACTATCAAATTCAATTTCAACTTACTTTAACGGTAAAACAAACTATAAAATGTTACTGCTATTATCTTTCCGAACGGATTTATCTCGAATAGTCTCTAATGGTTTATTAATTTCTTATTTTGGTCAGTTTGTCTCACCGACAGACTTTTTCTCTTTCTTTCTTTTAAAAATTGAAACAAGGTAAGTTGAGTTTCAAGACTTCATCGACTTATATTTAAAGTATTTCTCTTTTTGTAGCCAATTTTTCAGGGTAAGAGCGAAAATATTGTTAAATAATGAGCCATGCAGATTTCATGAATTGCAAATCACAAAAAAATGTTACAGGCACACCATCACTTACCTTTTTATTTTTCTTCATATTTTCTCTATGCATATCAGAGCGAGACGCATAGTTCACTAAAGCGAATTCTAACAGCGCCCCAAAGACGAAGGTTAGGCAAACACCTGTCCAGACGTCTATAGCCTTTGTGTAGGACACGGGAGGGAGGGACGCGTTTATCCCTGATGATTGCGTTGCCATCGTCAGTAGGGTCGTCACTCCTGTTGGAAATAAAATTGTATGTAGGTATAGTAAGTAACGTTCTAACGGTGCGCGATTCATTTGTTTGTGAAATGAAAATACAAAAAAAAATCTGAGGGTCTCATCATGTAGCTGCTAATTTATCTTCGATTCCGAGCCTGTTCGGTCATTCTATTTAACCAATTTCACATTTTTTTATTCGAATGGTACTGATGAACATTTTAGTAACTAAGAAAATCTTTTAACAAGCCCTTCTCATGTTACTTCGCCCACTTGAATTAAAGGGAGTGGGGGCTTGTGCTAACATTCAGTTTAAACTTAAGCAGTGCTGCAGTAAAGAAACACGGGTCGTCCTCGTAATGAAAACAAAAACAACTTGACATATCTGACACAGCTGTCTCACTCCAAACTAGGTAGAGCCTATAATACTCCCGTGACCGCGTGCTCCGAGGACTTCGTCTGACTGATCGCACGACGCGAATTTTTTTGCTATTGGTTTGACTAATCGGACGACGTGGACTTGTTTCCCGTTCCACTATTTTTCCAGAACGGTGATAAATATAAAAGCCGTGTGGTGTCGTGGGACACTCGATAGGAACGAAGTTGTGACGATCGAGTAAAACTGATTCGACACGATTTTAATTACAACGCCATCTTTGAAAGCGGCTATTCCCTACATATTTTTCAGTTGGTTTCTAATGAAAACAATTTATACATTGGTAAAATCTCCTTGAGAAATGATTTCCTATCTATTCGATAGATGGCGCAGAATGACTTACAAGTGACAATTAAAAATAAATGCTGAGATGAAAAGTAATGATTTCCTATCTATTCGTTAGATGGCGCTGAATGACTGACATAAAAAGTGTCGTTACAACTTTTCGTGAGAACTTTTTCCGTCTAGCCCCCTTTCACAACGCGCGATAAGGAACTTCGTTCCAAAATACATAAATACTTCGAAATTTACATAAACATATAATAGATATATTACAACTAGACACAGAACAAACTGTGGTGGGAATTGATTCCAGTTTTTTGTTAAAGAAGAGCTACGTAAACCAGTACCTAATGAAACTCTAGCAGGCACTGCTCCCTGGTCCAGCCAGAAGGACACCCACGACACGATGACCAGCATGCAGCATGGAATGTAAATCTGGATGAGGTAGTAACTGAACTCGCGCTTGAACAGCAGGTCTACCTTCAAGCAACTGTATTCACCTGGAAGATGTATGACATTATTATTATTCATTCCGAATTTTGGTGTCGCATTGGATAAATAATTTAAATACGAGGGAGTTATTCGTTGATATAATGATTTATTTTGTAAAGTGGTGTGTAATCTATACTATATATAATATTATAAAGCTGAAGAGTTTGTTTGTTTGTTTGTTTGAACGCGCTACTCTCAGGAACTACTGGTCCGATTTGAAAAATTCTTTCAGTGTTAGATAGCCCATTTATCGAGGAAGGCTATAGGCTATATATCATCACGCTAAGACCAATAGGAGCGGAGCACCAATGAGGAATGTTTCAAAAACGGAGAAAATTTATTACCATTGAGAGACGCAGACGAAGTTGCGCGGGTCAGCTAGTTTTATTATACATAGATTACTAGTGCCCGCTGTTTCATTTGCTTGTATATCGTAATGTTTAAACGATATTTATGTTATCACATCACATCACATCACATCATCAACAGCCTTTAACAGTCCACTGCTGGACATAAGCCTCTCCTTAGAAAGGAGGTTTTGGCCTACTATACCACGCTGGCCAGACGGGTAGGTATAGGGTTTGTGTCAAGTTTTCCTTCTCTCTGCAGTGCTGTTGTTCTACGTAGTTTTTTTCCCTTAGTCGGCTCTTACGACACCCACTGAATGGGATGAATAGGAGTGGTGAAACTGTATTCTAAATCGGTCACCACACGGAACAACCTATGTTAAACACTTAACAATTGTCCAAAAATGTTGATCTCTTGGCAAAGTATTGAAATTGTTTTTCACTCGTGTCGACTGTCGTAGACTTTCGTGTAAGGTTTGTATAAACTAAAAAATCTACTACAATACTCACCGGTATTAGTTTTGCTGTTACAGTAGTCAGTAAGGAACTTCTCCAGAGTGAAACGAGGCAGGTGGAGATTTTTCACAACCTGGACTGGGTCACCTTCTTTCCACAGGAACACCAAGTCGTCAGTCGTCCAGCCATCTAAACGAACAGGACAAAATTCGTTCAGTAATGTTAGATAAAGACACAGAGACAAGAAAAACACTAAACTAACTTTTTAAGCCCAAACTGTGGACTTAAATCCTTATTATATATTTTTATTCCTGTGAAATAAATTCCGTGAATTCGAGCATGTTCATTGATTGCCGTAGCTTTGTATTAAACGATAAAACACACATTCAAAATAACCCTAAACCTAACCTTCACGTTTCCTAAATAATCAGATTAATTTATTTTTTATTTTAAATAAAGTCGTAATCAAATAAACATATTTTTACAAACCTAAGAAAACAAATGTTTACACGACGATGAAAAGCGGCAAAGTACTTGCGGTTATTCCGCATTTTGTAAACAACATTATCCACTAATGAAACGTAAACAGAACGGCAAAATTATGGTTTGTGAAAAGACGGGAATGCTATTCCGTATTTTTTACCACTAATGTGTTTGTAGGTTTAAAGTTAAGCTGGGAGTTTTAGTTTGTCTAATTTACTGCTTTACTAAGAGTTCTATTTAAGTTTTTTTTATAAATATAAAAGCGAACAGATCGTAAGTGACACCAACAAATAAAAAGTCACAAATACGTTGTCCGGCTTTTGAGAAGAGAGTACGTTCTTTTCTAAAATGTTTGAATCTTTTTTTACTTATTTATAGTCATCTAAGCTAAACGTGTATTTAAAACTTCAGCATAATCAGTTGATAATAATTGCTTAACTGTACTTTCAGTTGCTAGATTTGATCCAAACATACATATGTGTCCTCCCTCCCCTCATTCTGGGGTAGGGAGAATCAAAGAGTGGCAAGGCATTTGTGATTCTTGAGTTGCAGATATTCATGGGTGACGGTAGTCACTTACCATCCGTCCGCTTGTTTTGCCCTCCAATATCATACAAGCAATGCAAGTTAAATAAAAACCTGTAAAATATACTCACAGCTGGCCATCCTCAGTGAGCAGGTTTGTTTATCCAGAGGGTATAACTTCAGATTCATGGGGCACGACAATGTGAGGGAAATTCGGATGCTGTACAGCACATTGCCGTTTGGGAAGATACGGATGTAGACGTTTGGCATGATGATGTTGTGGAAATGACCTTCCTTCTCGTTGGAGAAGAACAGATCCGGCATCCATACTCTGTTTGCTTCCGTCAAGGTCAGGTACTTGAGACGGCCTTAAGAATATTAATAAAATTAATTTGAAGCGAACCTACCATTCCAAAGTAAAGTTTCTAAAATTATCTTTCACATTCATCGCAATTTTATTAATTATGATGTTCAAACCAAAGACTACTTTTTAATGTGAAAAATATAACATGTTTATTAGAATTGTTTTGTGCTATTTATTGTTTGTTGCTAAAAAGTAAGTTGTCACGTGATAATCTGACAGCTGCCACACAATTATACTGCAACACCATCAGTTTATCGGTTAGTCACGTAATTAAAATCTGGTAGATATTACTGTTTTAGAGGGAATTTTAAAGACAACTTTTTTTCTTCACTAATTTTTTTGTACTTAAAAGTTCTATGTTTAATTCTATGTTAAATATACTCTTTAACAGTTTTGTATTCATTTAATACTTTCTAAAATGTTTTCAATTAAATCCTTTTTACACAATCAGACGCTGACGTCAAATCAATTTAAACTAAAGTACAAAACATCTTTAATTAAAAACAGATCTTACCTCCCAAATTATTAAATTTGAGCCGTTCATCTAACCACTGTTCCCTGAACGTCAGCTGAACAGAGTATTCCTGGAAACATCAATTTAATATGTAGCACACATTATGAAACAAATAAATGACATTGATACATTGTCAAAAAGCTTTCGCTATCGTTGTTATAAATCCCGACTCGACTCAACCTACGCATATTCACAAAACTCAGTCATCTAATAGTTAAAAAATATTATTTAATCCAAGTGATATTAAAAAATGAGGATAGTCTAAAATGATAAATCGTAGTTTTTTGTTAGTTAAACATATACGTCAGTAATTTTTTCATTTTCTTTGACAATATTTCAATGTAAAACAAAATTCTACAAGTATTTAGATGACATTTTCATCGCTGATTGAATAGCATTTGTGCACCTAGAAGCTTTCATTTCTTTTTAACTTCTATTTCTTTTTTTTTTCAATGCAAAAGCTGTTACTAATTACTTTATTTTATCAGTAAGCTTTTACTGTGTATTTGTACCAATAAACTTTGTAGTAACGACAAATGACCAAATTTGTGGTGCCATCTTGAACTTCAAATTTGGTTATTGAATAATTACCACCACATACATATTTTGAAAGTTTACTGGCACAAAATAATTTATACATATGTACACAAAGTTATGACTAAAAGAAGGACGGTGTCGAAGGTTCACTCAATAATTAAATTAACATCAAGGCACTAAGCACTAGAGGATCCCTCGACATCCTGGCAAGTCAAATGAATTACCGTACAGTCAAAGCTGGCAGATGCTTTACATATGTTTGAAACATGCAAACTCGAAAATTTACTTTTGGAGGATAAACTAGAAGCTAAATATGTTACTGATGAGCACGTTTTTGAATCTTGAGAATCTTTGAGATTGAATCGCTTAATGAGCCAGGTTATGAAAAGTATTAAAATGAATTTTGTGAAAAAAAGATAGCCTATCCAACCCTAAGAAACCTGAAAAATTGTTGTCATCCAAAAGTGAAGATTCGAGCATTATCTGAGAGCAGCATGCACAGAAGCGAAGCCTAGTAACCAACTTACCATTGATAGCATTCGTTGAAGGAATGCTTTTATTACCTTCATGCATAATCGGCCAGTTTATCTAGAGCTACGTTACGTCTAGCTGTTGTTTGGGGTCGGGTGTCACATATTGGTGGCCAACCACCAAGCACGAAGCCGAGTGCGGGCGCGGCGGTAAGTCCCGATTACACAACACAAATTCACATGAACAAGACATAGAATATATACCAACAATTAATTACAACGTACACGACCAAAATAGTTTTTATAATGTCTGTTTGACTGCGTGAAATTAATATAAGAAGCATGATTAAATGAATATAAGGGGAAATAAATAAAATGATATGATGGTGTATGGTGCGGGCCGCGGTCCCCGTGTTGCCTATAAGCGTAGCCAATGTTTTCAGATAGTACGTGATCTGATTGTTTTCTTTTTTTTTCAGGTGAACTGGTCAAGTGATTAAATTTTGCACGTATCTGTGCTGTGATACCGAAGCGGTTGATTTTTGGTGATCAATAATTTTGTGCTCACTACTTTTTGTGCCAATTGTCCATCTTTTACGTGTTTTTACAGCTTGAGCCGCTCCTGTTGGAGTGAACTCAAAATGTTAATACAAAACAAATTATAAATATAATAAAAACAAAAAATAAACATATTTTAAATCCAATTAGAGATAAAATATAATATAGAGGTTCAGATTCAAATTTAGATTAAAACGAATAAAAATAAATAATTTATAATTAAGTGCTCGGCTCCGCACCACGGAACTTTAGGTACAGTTTTTATCATTGAAATTATATCGCAATAGGGAAAAGAGTTGTAAAATTACAAAGGGAGGGATAAAGGTGCACAAATAACAGAAACAAAAATTAAACAAATACAATATAACAAAAAACATAAAAAATTACCACGAACACAATAATTAACGAATAGCTTGAGAAACGTTCAGCTTAGTGCAAAAATTGCCAAAAATTCACGCTCAAGATTGCCAATTTTATTATAAAAAAACTTCATGATACTTTGAATGTATCTTTAAAAACCTCATCCATTGCTAGTGCTGTGACTCCTCGTACTATTTAGACATCACAATAACGCAGCAATGAATGAGGATCGGCAGTGAGACATTGAAACTTTAGCTTACAATAAAAGTGTCACAATTTACATTTGATTTATTTATTATGTGACTCACCATTTTGTAATCATCTATTTTGCTGATAGATCGAAGATACATGTTGACATGAACTATCGTTGGCGCATAGCCTTAACGACAAAAAACAACATTTTTAATTGTTTGGTCCGCTTCTTGCATAAAATATACCCTACACACAGTACGGCAGTTGATGAAAATGTAAGATGCTATAAGATTTTAATGCAATGGAGCTGATTATAAGTTACGATATATAAATTATCTCAGTCCATCCCATTAAAGGAAGCCAATGCCACCGTCAGATGAAATCATAAGGACAACCAGCCAGTCAGTCAGGTTAGCCAGTCTAAAATTAAAAAGAAGAAAAGAAACACAAAAATATTAAAATATAAAATTAATTTCATTTTATTTTTTAGTCAGATTTTTATGATAAAGCTAGGATTAGACCATACTGGCGTACTAAGAAGTGATAGGCGCGTAATCTAAAAACGATTTTGGTCGTCAACACCAAACTGGTTTAAATTTTAAAAATCGAAAGAAAAATTAAAAAAGATAAGTAAAAATGAACATTACACATATGATAGTATCGGGTAAATCACTCCTACACAACAGGAGCGAGTTGCCCATTCATTTGACTTGTTTAACCGAGTGGAATAAATAAAAACTCAACTTGTTATAGACTAGATGCGGCCTAGTCTGTCCTTATGTAACTTACCATTGTGACGTCATCGATCTTTGATATACTTCGGACAAATATATTCACGCTCACTACCGCTGGTCCATCTAAGTACCAAGCAAAATTTACGATCAAAAACGCATCATTTCGATAACTACGCCTTAATGTCAGTTTGTGAACGCGCAATGTCAATCGTTGTCTACCTTAAAACGGAATTATAAAGCGTAGAGTGGTAGACATTCAAATATCAGTTCTTTTTTTTATTTTATAACGTTCCTAATTTGAGTCCTTAAATATGGTAGTACTTGCTGATTTATCCTCCATCTCTTTTTATTAATATGTAAGTTAGACAAGTCAAATAAGGTCAAAATAATGCTACTACTCCATGTTTTAATAATTCCACTGAGTTGACTGTCTAACGACTCACCTTTTTGCCTGTAAATGTTTTTATTCTATTGTCATGAATGATCCGACACACGATGATCATACAAACGAACATAAATATAATTAAATAACTAATTACTAATATCAAAACGAAACGACATTGGGTCAAAAATTGAAAAGAAAATGCTGCAAAAAATTCTAATGTCGGCTTGTTAACGAGAATTTGTGTTAGTGTAATATAGAGCAGTATCTTTTAAATTAGAAAGAAAAATAGAAGTTCTTAAGGAAAATATATAATAATAAATCATATAGGTAAATCTTGAAACATGATTTTAATATATTAGAAGAACAAGAGTTACATAAATACATACAATTTTCAAACTAAGATTGAAGTAAAAACCAAACGAAGAATAAACCAATTCTCTCTATTCTTAAATAAGTATTGCCACCACTAAAAATTTACGACGAAAAAGTATGTTATATTTTATCAGTAATCTAATAAGGTTTGGTATGTTTTTGATTACTTTACTTAGTATGTCGATAAAAAATTGCAATATCACTTTACGTAGGGCGAAAAAACATCGTCTTAACTGGAAGCATGGCGTGGGCCGGAAATTAACATTTTGTTGCAGAACCTCAGAAAGCAACGTCTATAGCCTTGTTTAATACAGATTTGTTCAGTATATACAATACTAAATAGTGGCAAGATAGAAATTGAGTTTACTTTTAGCAAATAAACATAAAATTGATTTCAATTCTTATCACTTTGGCCTTTGCCCACATTTTAATTGAAACTAACGAAACAAATAATCTAACAGCCTTTTGTCGCTCTATTTTTATTTATTATAAATCACAGATTTGCAAAAAAAACGTCTTTATATATAAATCATATCTAATTTTATATTTAAGTATATTTAAATATTGAATTTAGAGTTTAATATAAATGAAAGAAACACTCAGTGCCATTTTGCGGATTTAGTGCGTAGTTTAAATGCATTATAAAGTTCTCACAAAGCTGATATATTTAATTACTGTTTACAGCGAATATTTTTTAAGTATGTGAATATTATTATTTGGCAAAGCTACGGGCACTTTATTACAATTTGCAAAATGAACATTTGAAGATCATTCATAGATAGTCAATCGAATACTTTTAAAATGTATGTCCTTTTAAGGCACAGGCAACTTCATCCTTTCAGCCTAACTTAATATTTAGATTACATCGATTAAGCTGAAAATTGTTTTATAAAGAAGCTCTAATGGTGTTTCTGGTTATAAATAAAATAGGTTATCGCGGATAATAGCTTTTAAACGATCAATTTCGGCTATTAGCGTAAAAGTGTTCGGTTAACTCAAAATAAATCTATATTCATTGAGTTGGCTATAATAATTATTATTATGGCTAACTATATAATAACTTTTAGCATTTCGGTGTTTCAGTTTGAAGCAATTTAATACTTTAAATCAATACCAACAAAGCGTATTTTCAAAATTGAGTGTCAAAAATGACGTTTAAAAGAATTGTTCTAAATGTCTCTGGTTATTGAGCTAAATAGTTTTTGTTTTCCGATTGCGTGATTGAGTATAGTTATAGACTATTTAATAGCTCCGCAAAAAACATTCCGTAACAAAATCACCGTTAACGGTGATTTTGTTACGGAATGTTTTTTGATATATAAGCAGTCCTTTTAACTGCATATTTATTTTTAACTGTTATTTGAAAGTTTTATTCAAGAAATATATTTAGACACACATATACACGGTGATTTTGAAAGCGTTTTGGAAAAGAAAATTTTGAGTTATTTATCAGTAACAGAAGCTATATATAACGTTAATTTAATAAAATATATTTTTTTTATCATCAAAGTCGATATTCATATCGTTTACAGAGAAAAAGTCAGAACCAGTAGTAGTAGGCTATTCAATCACACGTAGGTAAATACTACGAATAGAAATACTATGCGTGTCACATCAAATCGTATTCGCCAATAAAAACAAAGCTACCGAGTTGCGCCGGAGTCGTCCAACCAATGACGTCTGCCCCGTAGGCGCATGCGCGGGGCTCACCTGTCATCGTCAGTCGGTCAGTAATACCATAACATCGTGACGGCACGCTGCATTGATTAGCGCTAAAATGAGTCGACAGTACGAATTTTCAAACGTGGAATACTTCTTGGCAATGGTACAGCTGTACGCTACTGCCAACTACAACTTGGAAGAGGCTCGGCGTTTGTATTCCCAAGCCGGAGCATTTAAATGCACTACGGCTACGTGGAATTGAAAGCCCTCAAATTCCCTCCACACCTACTATCTTGGCTGCAACCCAACGTCTTCTCGACCACGGACAATTTCGTGCGCCTACTCATACGCAAGGTCAAGGACGTTTTAATTATTATTCGCCGGAGTGTAGTGCGTGCATACCTGGACAATGAGCTTAGTGATCGGACTTAACGCCCCTGGATTTTTTCTTATGGTCGGAAATAAAAAGACTTGTTAATACACGGGAATATGAAAGCCGTGATAATTTACGCATTGCGATAGTGGACGCTTTAAAGTGAAAAGTGATAGAGACACATTAAGAAAATTAAAAAACAATTGCATTAATCGTGGACGTTTGTGTATTGAATGCAGCGGACTCCATTTTGAGCAGTTCCTTCGATACAGAGAACTGTAAATAGTGTAAATAGGTATGTAAGTTAATTATTCTGTAGATAGCTCCGATTTTTTAAAAACGCCTGAAATATTTATACCTACAGTCCGTTGATAAATTGATTTGTTGTGAAAAGAACAATCGTGGTTAATAATCGAAAAGAAGTTTAAGTAAAATAGGTATTTCTGACGGTCCTAAGCCCGTGTAAAGTATGAAGGACAAATTGGAGTCTATCTACGTAAGTACTCGCTAGCTCGCGCCTATAGGTATAGTTTTGTCAGCTGCTGTTAGCGTCGGCGGTGCGCAGCGGCCGCCGAAACGCCCACGGACGTGTTTCATTCATATAAGATAATGAATGAACGATCAGTCCATTACTACTTTCCAAGTCGATCGAGTAAAAATGAATATTAAAACTGAAACTTTTTTATTGGTACTATAGATGATTCCAAATTCAAATATTTCGTTTCCAAAACGCTTTCAAAATCACCGTGTATATTGAATTTAAATTAAGAAATTGGAGTAAGCTATTTTAAACACACGAAATACATATTAAAAAAAACAAATATAGAAAAGAAATCTATAAAGTTGTTTTTAAATGTATGATTTAGGGATAATACGTTTAATAAAACTTCGATATTATAATTTTTGGGATTAATTTGATATAATCTATACTATAGAAATAATACCGTCAGCATGTTTATTAAATAATTAACAGCATTTTCACATTTACAACTACATCTATTTTCCACACTGGTATCTGTTTAAACGACCATAAAAATGACAAACATTTTTGAATTCTACAACAAAAAATATCAGTGATATTATATCCATAGAATAAATAGAAAACCAACAAAATCTTAACATTGAGGGAACACAACATATATATGTCAAATAAAAAAAAACCAAAAAGAATAAATCTGCTCTTTTTTACCGTAACACGCCCGCTCTCTTTTGGAATGGAAACTTGCACAGGATGTAACATTTGCTTTTTATATCTAGACGAAGGAGAAAATAAAAAAACCTAAACAAAATATTTTAAAAACACTTAAGTTATACTTAAGTGTTTTTAAAATATTTTGTTATATATATATATATATATATATTTTGACAGTACTTTTTAAATAAATCCTACAAAAATCGTAATTTTGTGCTTTCTTTTAGGGTGCCAATTATCCGATAAAAAAATAAACTAAAAGTGGTTTATGGTCTAGTCACAGTCTTATGTTAAACAAACGCTACAACCTTATTTACTGATTCGCCTCATTAGCGCACAAACGACATCCACAATATATATATTGTCTATGTCTTACTAACCATCTTTATGTCGCTAATGGTTGTTATACTTCGCACGAACAGGTTTATATTAACTATTGCCGGTCCATCTGTTAACATGGTAAGAATACAAACAAAGTTTCTGTTCTATAATAATACGTTTTTTTATGGTAAAAAGATTCCCAAACTATTTAGGGCCAAAGACCCCTTTTCAAAAATGAACTGATACGTCAGACCCCCATAGCCAAATTACTGCACGCTTGTCGTCCTACTAAAATATTAGTCATTCTTATAACAAGTTACGAGTACCACACATAAAACAACTAATACAATATCTTGAAAGCTTCAAATAAGAACTTGTGTTAATTAATTGAAGTCGATTTTTAGACCTCGTCGTCCCACAATCAGTTTTCGTTTACGTCGATATCGTCCACTTTGGGCATCCCTGGTATAAAGTGACTAAAAGTACTACCGCCGCCCATATCTACGACTCTAGAGTCACAAGACAGTGCGAAGCCGCTCTCTATCCCCCCCCCCCTTCTTAAAACAAGGAGAAGGGGGGGAGGCTTGACCTCTGGTATACCTACGTGAAACAAAAACTTTATGGGGTCTAAGGATCTAACGAAAATAAATCATTTTCTCAATTCAGTTGTTCTAAATTTTAAAAGTGTATTAATATTATATTTTTTCCAGAAATTAACTCGAAAATTTGATATCTATTATCTTTCTTTGAAGCCAATTCAAATAAACATGATCGCGGTAACTCCTATTAACATCAATTAATTACTATTCGTAGTCGAT